GGACCCCACTTGTCACTGGTCTCCATGTAGACATCAAGCCACTGACCACGACCCTCTGGATGTGACCATCCAACCAATTCCCTATCCACCGAACAGTCCACCCATCAAACCCATATCTCTCCAATTTAGAGAGAAGGATGTTGTGGGGGACTGTTGAACGCTTTACAGAAATCCAAGCAGCAATCCATAGCAGCAGTTCTTCATGCATCAGCCAGAGGTTCCCTTCCAAGCCACCAAGTCTCCCCTGCCCTCTTGTCCTGGACACTGCTTCTCCCCCTATGTGCTGCATCTGCACCCAACACACATACAGCCTTGCTCTGTCACTTCCCTCACCTCAGTTCCCTGGGAAGGGGGTCAGGGCAAGGCTTCTCCCAATCTTCTGTATGCAACCACACCCCAGACCAGCCTTTTTTCTCAGTGACAAGGAAGAAGCCGGAGTAGGCAGGGGATGGGGACCTCAAAGAGCTGTAGCCACTGCCTGCTGCAGATAACTTACTCCAGCGATTAGGGAGCACCACACATTGAATTTTGCCCTTCTGTATCACCATTAGTATTACATTCTGCCCTGTGCTATGCATTATCTCTAGATCACGAGCCCCTTGCATTAAGTCACATCTGGGAGTAAAGGCACCTCTGGGTTTCTCTGATCTAAGAACAAAGTAAAAGTTTCTGTTCTTTTTGAAGAAGTCACCGAATCAGACACCCAGATCACAGCAAACATTAGGCATGTGCCACTAATGAACATCAGTGAGTCCTACAAGAGGATTCTGCAGTCCAGAGGCTGGGCACAGCACAGACTCAAGACTTGGTTCTACTCCCTGACACTTGCCTAACGGCTGAGCTGTGTCAAGGCTCTTCTAGGTACACCACTTTCTGCTCTGTATAAAATAGGCAACAACGCTGAGCTCCATAAACACTGTGAAGGCTTCTGACAGAGTGCTGCATGAGAGCTGGGTGTTGCCATAGCTGTCAGACTGCCTTAATCGTTATCAGCCTCCTCTCTCAAACTGCACTCAGTGTTAACTAAACATGAGCAAAGTATTTGGGAAGAGAACAGCTTGACACAGCTTATTACCCTCTGACACAGAGTATGGAAAAAAATCTTCATTACCGCACGAAGCACCAAGTGTGTTTTAATTTCTTTCTAACCTAAGCTCCAAGGAGCTTATTATTAAAGCTGTAATGGACAGAAAGGCACCTAAGGTGCAAAAGGCTATTTGAAGAAACAGCAAGAAATCCCTTTCTTAGAATTGAGCAGGCAGAATATTTCCTATTCCTTCTTGACAGTTCTTTGCACATTCCTGCCCAACGTGAATCTAAGGACCCATGTACACACAAGAGTAAACATCCTAACTTTTCTTCTAACATTATCGCTGCTTCCTACCCAATCCAGGACTGTTGTCCGCAAAGCATTACTATTGTAGTTTGTTGATCATTATTCACAGACATAACCTAAGCACTTGCTTTGATGCAGGCAGGATGCAGTTGAATGAGCCCTATATTAATTGGTTTCTTGCCAGCCAAAAATGACAAGTCCTTTCACATATTAGTGATGCCACCACATCCTCTTGACACCCCCTGCCTGTGCATCTTGTGCTGTGGTTGTGTGGGCAACAACTGCTTTAACCTGCAAATTTATTAAGAAGTAACTCAGCCTTAGCAACTGAGGCTCATTCCCTTCTCAGCAGCACTGAACGGCCTAGCTAGAAACTAGTAAGAGTGTAGTTCCCACAGAACAGAACCCCATGGCTTCACCCCGAGAGGAGCGTGGCTCTTGGTATGCAGGGTGCTTTCACTTCCACTGTGAGCGCTAGCCTGTGACTCGGGAATTCCTGCACTGAGTCCACCTGGTCCTGGTTCCTTTCCCTGAGAGCAACCAGTGCCACCTGCCTCACAAGAGGACGCAAGTACCCCTCTGGTGCAGACATGGGAAGCCATAATAGGGCTGAAAGAGGAAGGCAGGAAGGAAGCGAGACAGTCACTGCAGGCTTCAGCTTGAATGGCACCCATCCAAGACTACTTGCTTAACCTAATTGCAAACATCAGCCATACAACAGTGGAAAGTACATGAAGGTCATTAGGGCCCAGCTGGTGTCCCTCTCCCAGAGGGTCTAAGAAAAAGAAGAAACAAAAAGCAGACACTGAAGTGTCTCTGACCAGTGCTGCTGTAATAACATTAACTTATTCATAAATAGGCAGTGATGTCCACACTCACATGCCAGCACTTTTACAGTTTGATAATGGCATTGTGAGTTGCTCTTCAGTTTAATATAACCATTATTTATGGATGCTCGATGTTCTTTTACTTTTGTATCCTCAGAATTCCAGCAAACTCTGCAGTCTTTGCAAACCATTTCATCACATGGGCAAGTTTGGCTGGTGTTAAATGAGAATTTGGGAGGGCTAGGCAAAGTTACTCAAAGACACTTCCTTCATAGGGAGGCAGCTGCACTGTACTATCACACAGCAGTTATTTGCCCCCAAAGCTGTAGCCATCTTTTCAGGATGATATGCATAGCTATTTGTCTGTACGAGTGGCTCTTCAGAGAGAACTACAAGGCTTAAATGTTGAGCTCATGTCACTACAGAGGCTGGAGCGGGAGATCTGGCTCTACAATGAAGTCTGCTTGCTCCATGGCCTTGATGGCAGCATGGGACTGGAGCTTTGGAAAAATCCCAGTTACTGTCCTGGTATCCCTTTGTCCACTCCCTTCAGGTTCCCAGGCTTCACAGATCACATATGAGCTCAGCTCACCCACCAAGACAGCACCTACAGGGAATAAGCAGCACAGATGTGACAGAGGCCTTCGTGGCACAGAACAGACACTGGAGAGCTCTGGGCCTCATATCTGGAGTCTTTTGGCATTCCCTTGAGACAGACTCCTCCTCCCACTGCCCTAATGAGAATCCCTTGCCCAGAATAGCATGATAGGCCTTTTAGTTTAGCTTTGTCATGTGCTCCATTTGCTTCTGTAGCCCATTTATACCTTGAAATCTCCATTATGCACCAGGTAAAGAGGCTTGAAAAAGGGAGCAGGGTCTGGGATACAAGCCATCTTCTTCCACAAGCTGTAAGAGAAAAGAGAAAGGCTTCAGGATTAAGCGTACATTAGAGATGCAAAGCAAGGCATCTCCAGATCCAATTCAAGCAGCTGAAATCACCTGCCCGGTCTCACAAGTTAGCAAGTGGCTGAGGATGCAAGGATGTCTTGTGCTGTTAGAGCCATCTAATGGCCTTTCTTGCGAGCCTCACAGGAGGTTGGGGCCTCAGTCCTTGCGCACACATCATTCATGTTAAGGAAAGAGGTTCCAATTTTCTCATTCCTGCAAAAGCACCAAGTGCTGGAAATGCATTTTCCCCTCAGGCTGGGCTGGCTTGTGGTCTGCACCTTCAGGCCAGGACCCTGCCCTGTGCACTTCTTCTGTGGCCACGGACTGTGCCAGCCCTGTTGCTGCACCAGCCCAGCCTCTCCTCTGTGGCAGTGTGCACCCCAACCCTCTGCAAGGGCATGCGATGCTCCAAAAAGGAGAGAGGCCTGTGTCAGCTTTGGAAAGGGGCAGGCCAGCCCTGGCTACTGCTCCCATCTGGCAACTGCAGAGCACAGATAGGACCAGGAGAACAGCCCAGGAGGCTGAGTGGCCCCTGCTCAGTCCCCGTGTGCCAGTGTCTTGTCCCAACCAGCTGAACGGCAGCAGAGCCCCAGAGAAAAGCAAGGCACTCTTGGCAGTGCACCAGCTGGAGACCATACTTTGCTGGCCCTCACAGGCCCACAGCTGTGTCCATACGTGGATATACAAGATGCAAAGAAGGCTGCATGTGAACACCCCATCTTTAGCAAGATAGAATAGGAGCATTTACTCCAGCTTCCTGAAGCATTCTTACCTCCTCTGTTTGGCCAGAAAGGTTGTGATTGAGGCAGCGACTGCCACGACAACACCAAACAGCAGCAGCCATCCCATGCCTGCTGTCTGTGTCACTGCTGGAGAAAGAGACAGCGTCATTCAGGCTCACCTTGCATTTCTACCCCGGTCAATAAGCAGGAGATGGTGAGGAAACACCCTCAATTCCCACCCCAGACTTTCTCTTAGGGACACTGAGGCTGTCACCTGGGGCCCAGCACTCCAGACATGAGGTCTGAATAAGGATGCTCAGAGAAGACTGCATCAATGAAGGCAGCCATGTATCAGCTGCCCTATGGCCTGGCTGCACCACAGACCAACAGCCAACATGCTTGGGGCAGGGCAGCTCTGTGCTACAAAGACCCCTGGTGTTTCTGACTCCTCCTGGTTTAGGGACACCTCCACAGATGATCCATAAGTGAAAAAGAGTGCAGCTGGCCAGAGACGTGTGAAGAAAAGGTGTTGACTAGAAGAATGCTTGTTGGCTGCTCTCTGCCTGTGATGGAGAGAAGCACCTTTGAGACTCAGAACTCGGATAACCCTTAGCAAATGGAGCCTGACCCTGCTGCCACATCACCATGTAATACTTCAGTTTGAGCTGCAGATCAGTGAGAGAAGGGAAGCTCAGCACTTGCAGCTGACATTGACCACAGTCATCCTGCCCTCTCTATTTGAACAAAGACTCTCTATTTTCATAGCCTCTGTTCCACCATGACAAGCACCAGTGTACTTCTGTGCATAAGGTACTGCGCACTCCCTGTGGAGTGGGAGTGGTGGCTACCAAACAAAATACCCTTGCCCAGCATTACCAAACATCAGAGTCTAGACACGGAACTTAGCCCTGAGAACAGGCTCCCCTCTCTCCTCAGCTGAAGGCAATACTAACCCCCAGTACCGGAGGCACCTCTACTACCTCTCCCCCATTTCCAAAAGCTGCAAGCAGGACACTGGACATTTGACACTGGAAATGAAGCTAGAGGCTGCACTCCTGCTGTGGCACCCAAACTTACAGCCAACCCCACCAAACCCTCTTCCCATGGGCCATGCTGAAAGGCGGACTTTCCAGCACAGTGAGAAGGTCAATACAGACAGCACGTATCAGCCCAGGCCTGGGGTTCACATACTCAGTGAGCAAGCCAAACATGCCTGTCTTTACTAGACTATTTAGAATTTGTTCTAATAAATTAGATTTGATTAAAGTTCTGGAAGCATTGTCTGCGTTGGACCAACTGGAAGGGCAAGGACAGCTGGCAGTATGTACCGGCAGGCCTGGTTTTCAGCATCAGCAGAGGACTCCATTCACTCCAAAATCCATGGTAGCCAGTGTCTTCTCGGGTTCTGGCTCTCACTTGGAACTCATACTCAGTGTCCGCCTGGAGTTCCCATGGCAGGACCACCAGCGTCCGTTTATCTTCATGGACAGCTTTAGTCTTCTGAGTCTGTGAATGATTAAACACCGAAACACTCAGGGCTGGAGTGACTGCTCCCACCTTACCCTCACTGCTGCACAGTGAGGAACCCTGCAAAGTAATCTCCTCTGCTTTCATGTTGTTTCTGCAGAGACATGCTCTGGCTGGTCAGTAGCTGCATGGGGCCCTGGGGGATCCTTCCATGCAGCACCGCATCAGAAGCAAATGAACTATCAGCCTTCCCCACAGGATCTAGTACTTCTCAAACAGCTTCTGCTTCTCAGTTCTCTTTTTGGTTTTGCCTGTTGTCAGTCCAGGCAAGCAAAGAGGCACCTTTTCTACACCATGAAAACCCTTCTTCCACACCAGCACTCCTGTCCTGGTTGTGCTGGCCTCCTCTTTGCTGGTACATCCTACTTGATGGTAAACCGACATCTCACTTACCTCCCAGGTGTCAGTCCTTCTCTTATAACGCAGCTGATATTCCAGCTCCTCATTCAAAAAGTAGAAAGGAGAGCTCTGGTAGATAGTTTCCCAAGAAATATTGTAACCATCTGAGAACACAGCAGTCAGATTGAACGGAGGCTGCGGTTTGACTGGAAGACAGGATGGTATTACTCTTCATAACATTACTGCAGACAAGAGGTGGCCCAGCATGGTATCAGCAGTGCAGAGCAAGTAGAGAGCAAAATGGCCCTGGCAGGGGTAGGCCCCCCTACACAGGACAACATCCACAACATTCCTGTCCGTCTCTGAACCTCCTCATCACATCACCCAAGGGGCAGGAAAAGATAGCACAAGGGGCCAATACCTCCTGGGAGATGTAAACAGTAGAGCACCTTGTTCTTCTCGTGACACAGAAGGACTCTGTATAGTCAGGGTCGCTCGCATGGTTAGGGAAATACCCCTCAGGGTAACAGAGGCATCAGGAAAAGCTGACGCTAGCAGACACTGCATAAACCCAGTGCAAATCCCTGCGTCAGAAGTGCCTGAAAGGCAAGCTATTGTATTGCCTGCAGGATGTTTTCATATATTAAAAAGCAGTAATGCAAACTCCAGCACTAGTCTGCAGGGTCCATCACTGAGCTACAATGCCTCTGTATGGGGCAATCTAGGAGACATGCAACGCACCACTACCCAATTTACAGTGTGTCAGTGGGGGTAGGGGGCTTTCCTGAAATGTTATAGCATTTGTCAAAGAGATGACACTTCTCATGTAAAGTTTAATTTCAAAAGAATCCAAGTAGAAAAATCCTTTTTCATATGCCCACATGGTACCTGTCTGCCTGGCTAACCACCCCTTTTCTTCACAGTTTGCTGCACAACTCAGAACACACCAGCATTCCACCAAGTCAACTATATGATGGCACCCAGTCTTCCTCTCATGCAGAAGAGATGGTTAGGAATTGCCCCAGAAAGGCGAAGTGCCACCACCATTGTGTCTGGGACACCTTGTGCCACCCACAATAACATCACGTTGGTTCAGGTGTCCACTGCAAGAGCCTTCTGGGACTCCTGTGAGGACATTTGTGGCATTTGCAATTAAAGGAATTCCTCCTGCCCTTTAGGTTCTAGCCAAGAACAAACACTTGCATAGTCTAGGTACAAGACTGGTCTAAGGTAGAAATTTATCACCTACTGCTCCATGGGGAAAAGGAATTTCCCCATGAAAAGGCTGGGGCCAAGCCAGCTCTAAGCTCAGCCTCAAGCATAAATGTTTCTGTAGTTTACAACAGCAACAATAAGAGCACAGCGCTCTGTGTAGATGACTGCACACCAAACACAGCCCCCCACCACTAGCTGCCACACTCACTCCTTGCCCAGACTATCCTAGCAGATAGGCATAAAGTCAGACTGTATTTATCAAATCCACCATTTTTGTACTTACCGTTCTCTGCCATATAAAAGCCTTTAGAAATCACGTGCTGCCCATCAGCCATCTCTGTAACATCCACCTGGACTTTGTTATCTGCCATGAGCACAGTCATGTCCACAGTGCACATGTACTGCGTGTGACTGGTGTTCCTGGAGAATTGCAAGAGATTGCAGGCAGCCACAGTATTTTCTGGATCTTCCTCATTAACCCTAAAACCACCAAAACAAACAGACAAGTCCACATCTACCACATGCTGTAGCTGGACTAATCTGTTGCTGAACCACCAGGCATAGAAATTAATAAGAAAAAAAAGAGGCAGCATGTTCAAATAAAAATTTATCTTTGAACTTTGACAGATTCTACCCACCCCGCCCCCCCTTCTATTTGCTCAGCTGAGCATCTTTGAGATAAGTAGGCAAGCAATGCTGAAGTGTTTGTGGAAAGGACAGGTGCTCATGAGGGCTGCACAGCCCAGGACTGCACCCACTTCCTTGCTGGGGCAGAACAGCAGCCATACTGGGCTTGGACAAGCTGCGTGAACCCTGCCAGGGCACACAAGTGAAAGTCCATTGTTAACAGCAGCAAAGGGCAAGGTATTCCCAGGGCAGGAGAGAAAACAATGCCAAGGAAGCCAAATTCAGTGTAGCAGTCAGTGGCAAGCAGCGCAGTCAGTGAACACAGGAACCAGGGATCCTTTGCTAGGGGAGGAGCCAGTTGGTAACTGGAGTGTGAAGTACCAAGCAAAAACCAGCACAGCAGCAAGAGCAAGAATTCTACCTAACAAAGAGGACAGAAGGACACCACTGTGCTATGACCATGCTAGAAGTTCCTGCTGGCTGCACTTTGCTCATCCTACTGAGACGTACCATGTTGCAGTGAGGTTATACGAACTGGCACCCAAGTCATTTCTCAGGATACAGGACAGGGTCTGTACATAGTCCACAAAACAAGTGAGGTTTTCACAACACGTAGCTGTAGGTTTGGAAAGAGAAAACACAATATCAACTTGCATGATGAAGCAAGCAGAACTTGATATCAACACACACAGTCCTCAGGGCTCCCACTAAATCTGAAGGGAACAGACCACTCTGTGCCAGCCCCCCAAAAGTCTCCAGTCTTGGAGCATAAGATGTATTCCATCTCTACAGGGAGGCAAGTCATTGACAGCAAGGTAAGTGTCAACAACAACAAAAACTATTAAAAATGCTGTAGGAGCAAATGGCATGCCAAAATTCCAGGAAATGCCCAAATCGTGACTGAATTTTCAAACTTATCTCTGTCCTCTCTTATACAGTCACTACAGCAGAGTCACATTATTATTTCTGCAGGAGTGCTAACTTATGCAGCACACAAAAGAGGCACGATAACCCAATCAGAAACAGTAGCATATTCAAACATTTTAATGATACCACTTCTTAAATTGAGAACTGTTCTTTGCTAGTCTGGTTTTTGTTTTGACATCTACATGGCACTTAGCACATTTTTAAAAAATTAGTATTTTAGCAATTCTTTCTTGACCATTCTCTCTGCTTACTATTTTCTACAGCTTGATACCTGCAGCATCGATACTTTTTATGTCCAGCTCCAAAAGCTCAGAGTATGCTTTTCATGGAATTTTGGCAAAAAAAAATATTGGAAATTTGTAGTTACTATGATTTCTGTAAAACATTCTGATACTAAAGTGATAGGCATAATTAATCACTTAAACGGAAATAGACTTCTAAAGAGAACTTGAGAGGCAATTGTAGAATTTAATTAATGGTTGGACTTTATTATCTTAAAGGTCTTTTCCAACCTAAATGATTCTATGATTTACGCTGGTCATTAAGAAAATGAGCTAATTTGAAAGTGGTCACAAAGCAGCATTTATGCTCTTTGATTGTTCTGCAGGGGCCCTGCTCAAGTATCAGTATCCGATACGTACTGTACAAAAGCACTGTTGTTCTATGCATAACACACTTAAGTTATCTCCCTAGATTTCAAGGCAGGGAAGATGGCAGCACAGTGAGAAACGTCTGCATTGGCACGTCCTCTCTTGACAGCACCTTGGGCTGACAAGAGCCACCGCTACTACGCTGGGAATAACTGAGTGAGGAAAGGCCTGTAGGGGATGCAGGATGCCATGCCGGTGCAAACCATGCCTACTACAGTGACTACCATCTCTTACATGTACAGTATCAATCCTTTTTAATGGGAATAAAATTGTCATAATCTAGGGGAAGATCTCAAGGTTGTTACATCCATGCTTAAATCAAGCATGGATCCTCCCCTACCATCAGGGCTGCCCCCAGGCTGATGGGAACTTGTTACTTCACAGCCATCAGGCACCCGAATCCTCAGATACTAACCATATTGCCAGTTCACCTCCCTTTATCCAGGCAAGCAGCAGAATGACAGAGAATCTGCACTCCCTGCTTCCTACCTTCCCTTTGTTGAACATGCTTTGTGTTCAGAAGACTTGTTTGCATAAGATGAAAGCAGGCCTACATGATATGCTCAACAACCACAATGCCTGATTTTACAGTTAAAGAGAATGCTGTATGCAGAGAACAATCAACATGGAATGCAGGCAATGTGTGCATTGATGGACCAGAAACATCTGTTCCACCCTCCAGATCAAACAGTCCTCACAAACAAGGTGTGTCTGCATTTACCATCACAATGCACAGCAGGCATGTTCAGTAGAGGGTGCAGCCTAATTCTAGACCAGGTCAAAAGAAAAGGAAGTCCAACTTTTCCCACTGACTGCGCTCATCACAAAAGTTTCTTCCTAGTCCTGTTGCATCAGAGCACACGCTGCTCTCCCTTCACGAGCTCTGGGCAGCACTCAGATTTGTGTACAAGACACCCCCCACCCCCCGCCCCATCCCCCCAAAGAGTCAGGATGGCAACAGAAGAAATTTGGGGATGCTTGCAACAGACTGGCCCCAAGGGTGTACATATGCTTTATTAAACTGTAAGTAATTCAAAGTATGTGGTTGTCACTTTGTTTCATTTTGACTTTTTCATTTCACACCGACTTCAGAATTTTGTTCCAAAATTTTCATTAAGTTTTAACTTTTCATTTTAAGCCCTTAGTAGGCTCTTCTGAGGGCCCTGGTACAAGCACTGTTTGCTCCAGAGTCCTGAACAACATAGTTTTTCTCCCTTAGCCTAGCTTTACTCTCCTACAAAAACAGGGTTATAAACCCCTTGCTTTCCTTTAGAGACAGTAGCAAGTATTAATAAGCATTGCTAATTAGCATTCTTCTATACTATTATGTTAATCAGTCAAATGGAGTACTATTCCTAGGTAGCTGGTAAGTTGCAAGTGTATCTTTGGGCAAGAATCTGTTAACGAAATTAAGAAGGGGACAGCTTTTTACTGGGAAGGGAATAATTAAGTGTCCTAAACCCAGTTAGATCTAGGACGAGTTGTCCATCCTTGGCAACTTCAGAAGCAAAAATCAAATACTTTTAAGATCTGGTTTGGTCCAAACTGAAATTAGTAAAGGGGTAACTCCCTGGCTTGTGTTACACAAAATTCAGACCAGGCATCACAATGGTCCTGTATGGTGGGAAGATATAACTCTGAATTAATCTTTTCTGTTAATTTAGGTTTGGAGCAGGTGCAATGCTCTGCGTAGAAGCCGCATGTAAAATGCTAAACTTGCACCTGTTCCCTGCAGACACTGTTGCTGCCTTTTTCTGTCCAGCTGACTTGTTCAGAAAGTCAGCTCTGAGTCAGCTGAAGCTTGCATGGCGGGTAGGAACAAGCAAGAAAGGGGGAGTGACTGCACAGGGCAGTCCTGAGCAAAGGGACTCAGACCAGGACAGGTTCACTCCACTGTCCCTGGCTGGCCTGCCAACTGCAGCCATAAACACTGGGGATATCCTGGTCTCAGCCACCAGAACCTTTCCTATGACAAAGGGGTTTTTTTCAGGGAAATCCTACTCTAATGTCAGCAGGAGACATTTCAATGCCAGGCAGGCACTACTCCTGCACTCTCCCCACTGGTGCTGCTCCCTGGAGTGGTATGCAGTCTGGCTGAGCTCTGCCCAGATATGCACCTTCTTGCGTCCGTCCTCCACTGCCCGAGGAACCTCTTCCATAACTCGTTATTCCATGGAACCTTCTCCCCCAGTACCCTATCTTGTGCTTGCTGTCCCATGGCAACCTTGTGCCATGCACATCTCAGCACAGCCCGTGTCAATGGCCACCAAGACAAATCCTGTGGGTGTACAGCCCGGAAGAGATATCTGGGAACTTACTGTACTGGAATAAAAGGAAGAAGGAAATACTCTGGAGCCACAGTTTGTTCCTCATGTTGGTTCTGACTGGATGTCCTGGAAAAAACAAAACAACCCCCAAAAAACCAAACAAGCAATTAAAAGTTCAGCTCAGCCATCTACTCATATGTTGAAGGTTGAGGTGGAATTAATCTTTCTTTCATTTAAATGTCTAAGAGTAAAGTGCCTAATTTAGGCAAGTAATCTCAGCTTTCCTGTATGTATCTACTCCATGGGCTAAGGGGCGGGGGG